AAAAAAAAAAAAAAAAAAAAATATATATATATATATATATATATATATATATATAAAGTTACAAAAGAGGGTTTACAATTACAGGCAAGAAGATTCAAACGAGAAAGGGCCGCTACCGAGATTCGAACAAGGAAGAGTAGAAGAGTCAGAGCCTGAGAGCTTAAACAAATTTATGGAGAAAAGAGAAAACTGAGAGCTTTATGCAAATAAGAGACAAAAATTATCTTCACATAAACGTCTTCGCATGGGTTAATTGGCTTCTTGCCGTGGGTAGGGTTTTCTCTTTCTATAAATGACAGGCTCTTTGATCAGTTTAGAGATTTGGACGGTTTTTGGATTTTGTTACCGTATTAATTACGATTTTTAAAGGTTTACTTTGTTTTAAGTGTATTAATCTGATTGGTTGCCTTTTTAGAGTAGTGGGGCTAATTTCCTCTTTTTTCTCTCTTGGAAATTATAACACACCCTATATTTGAAGATCAATATTCTAAAATCAAGTAGGAGGTTTTACTTTTCAAAAATTAGATGTTTTATTTTACTTAATATTTTTATAAGATAATTATTTTTACTAAATATATATATACTTAATACACATACATCACGAAGTCTAATTATTTCCCACTCTCCTATCTATATCTACATTTCTCCATTCTCTCTCTATATATCACCCATCACCTCCCTCAATTTTCTCTCTTTATACCAACCCATCAACTCCAACAATCATGAACTCCTCACCTTTCCGTTGTCATCGTCTACCGTCACCTCTCAGCTCCATTACCTCTCATCTCCTCTCATGTATCTATATCTACATGTATCTCTTCTATTCTGTATTTGCCGATAGAGTCGTCTGCAGTTTATGATAGGTTCTCTCCTTCCTCTCAGCAGATGGTGTTGCCTTGCACCACTACCGAGAGATGCGGCGTATACCCGCCTCTTTCTGTTTCCTCCATTATCCAATTGCTGCTCTCTCTCCCCCACCAAACGTGCGTAGCAGCCTTATGACTATCGCAATGCGCGGTTTGAATGTTAGGTGGAGATGGTGGTGAATTTGGCGATGGAGGTGAGTTTTGTGGTGGCGGTTATCGGCGATGGTAGTGGATCTTGTGGTGGTGATGGATTTGGCGGTAGAGGTGAGTTTTATTGGATCTAAGGTAGATGATGGCGTTGCTGAATCTGGAGGTTGCAGTGGCAGCGACGATGATTTTGTTGATATGGACAGTAGTGGTGATGATGGCCGGAACGACAGTGGTGGTTTTTGTTGATATAGTTGGTGGTAGTGAAGGTGCCCAATGGTAGATTTTTTGTGAAAATTGTGGTTGTGGAAAAGTATGGTGGTGGTGGTCGTAACAGTGGTTGCGGTGGTAATGGTGAGGTGTTGGAGGCGATGGGTCTATCGGGGTAATGGTGAATTCGGCGTGACGATGTGATGGTGTTTTTATGCGATGTATTGACCTTTTTGAAGTGGTTGTGGTTCTAGCCGCGAGGGGGTAGTGGTGCTATAGCTAGAGGCAATGGTGAGGTGATGGTTGCAAGTGTTAGAAGTGGTTGCAAAATATTTGATTGATTGTAACCATTACATTGGTTAATTTGTGATTAATAAATAATATATGACCAATGAAAATGATAAATTGTGACAAAAAATAATATATGACTTAAAAAATAAAATTTGCGATCGATAATTTGATAATTTGTAACTATATAACAAGTTATGACTTATAATATTTGTGATTTATGATCGATAAATAAATTGTAACTTATAAATTTTTTATTTGTGACCGATGAATAAATTGTGACCTATAAAATTTTTGCATTGTGACCATAAAATAATTTGTGACATATAAAAGTTCTGATTTATGATCGAAAAATAATATGTAGCTAACTAAATCATTAATCTGTAATCAAATTATATAGATTGTTACCTTGATATATTTAATTAATAGAATATATAATTAATTAATTAATTAAATCATAAGTATATTTTAATAAATATCTAATTTTTGAAATTTAAAATCTTTTTTCTTAGTTTTGAAATAGATGATACTTAACCTATTAGTTTTGAATTTTTTTTTCTTTTTCTTTTTTCTTTTTTCTTTTTTGGCCCACTAATACATCCTCTAAGACTTGGCTGGACTTCTTAGATGGGTCGACAACAGACCAACGATACCCTCCAAATCCGATAAACAACAGGCTAAAAGTCTAACATGTCTGTCAATGAAAACGTTACCTTAACCTCGAAGTTGTCGAACAGAATATTCGGCAAACACGCGCTTTCTCACCTCAACGCCTCCCTCAATCTACTCGAATAGCGTGCCGTGTATAGCGTCCCTTTATATATTAAAACACACAGCATCACATAATATAATGCATTATTGGAATTTGAATCCATTATTTTCGAATATTCAAACTCACGAACCCTAATTTAGAGGTAATGGCAGAATCAAACCCCAAATCTCAACCAGAAGTTGTAAGAATTTGATCTCTCCCAGGTTTTCATTCCTTTATTGTTTGTTTGTATTTTTATGAGGTCTTGTTTTGTGATGATTTTATTAATAAGATGGAGAGCGAGGAGCAGAAGATGAAACGCTTGGAATTCGTGCAAGTTGCGGCTTTCCATGCGGTGATTTTTGCTGCGAAAGTCTATAATTACGCCAAGGATAAATCAGGGCCGTTGAAGCCCGGGATCCACACAGTCGAGGGCACCGTCAAGACCGTTGTGGGACCCGTCTACGACAAATACCATGATGTTCCCGTCGAACTGCTCAAATTTGTTGATCGCAAGGTAATTTCTATTTTTTATTTTAATTTTTTGTTACTTTATAAATTTCATAACTGTAGTTTTGCCTTTTAATTGCAAAACGGAACCATTTGCATCAGTATTGGAAGCTAATGAGGTTAACCCTTGTCTTTACATGTATAGATTGATCTTATTTCTTATGTTTTATAACATTTCGTTTAAAAAAAATTATTGTTCATTGTCCTTTTTTTGTTACGATTATGTATCAAAGTCAAAGTTCTTGAATGATTCTTGAGTTTTCACATATAATTAGATAATATTACTGCTGCAATCTCTTTAGATGATATGTAATCGAGGAAGAATCTACTCATTCATGGAGTGAACGCTGTTGGAATGGCTGTTAAAGACCTTTTTTTTTTTTTTTTTTTGGGGTTCATATCATTCTGAATTCATTCCGCAATTTTATTAGGTCTCTGATTGATTCTCTTTATTTCTCATACTCATTTTCAATCTCATATTCACACAATGAAATATTTTGTACTTACATTCAAAATTTCACTATTTAAAACATTATTTTTCCCCATTTTTTCTTTATAATGATCATCAAACAGTGGCTAGAAATGACAACATTATTAATGTGAGAATTTAAGAAATTTGCAATTGTGTTTGTAGGTCGACGAGTCGATGAACAAGGTGCAGAGTCATGTCCCCACAGTTCTTAAGCAAGTGTCAACCCAAGCCTTCTCGAGTGCTCAGAAAGCTCCATCAATGGCTCGCTCCGTCGTGACAGAAGTCAAAACTGCTGGAGTTGTTGAAACTGCCTCAGGTCTTGCGAAAACCTTTTACGCCAAATACGAACCTGCTGCCAAGGATCTGTATTCCAAGTACGAACCGGTAGCTGAACATTTTGCTGTGTCGACCTGGAGATCTCTCAATCAGCTCCCGCTCTTCCCTCAAGTGGCTCAAGTCGTCGTTCCAACGGCCAGTTATTATACCGAGAAGTACAACCAGACTATTCAACTTTCGGCTGAGAAAGGGCACAAAGTTGCATCATATCTTCCGTTGGTCCCAACCGAAAAGATCGCAAAGGCATTTAGCGCTGATAAAACTAAGCCCATGGTTTCGACCGGAGGAGCTGTTGAAGCACATTGATGCTGCTTCCATTACTGTAATGCTATTATCATGGTAAAATGGTGATATATTTACATGACAATGTTGTGGATAGTAGATAAACAACAAGTGTTATGAAATACTTCGTTTTCTTTTCTTTTGTTTACTGTCTATTCCTAGTATGAATGAATAAATTATATTCATTTTTGTATTGTTTTTCTCTCTTTTATTTCTGTCTTATGTTAGAAGATGGTTTAATGGGCTCCACTCGATAGGGAAGGAGCAGATGGCTCCTCTTCCGCAGTCTAGCTAAGCTATTTGTTTGCTGCACTGAGCAATGCAACTTCGTTCATCTTATGATCAGATGGTACACTTAATTTTATTATTGAAGTGCTTATTTCTTGCCAAAAATCCTTTCCTAATAGCAGGGCCGTACCTGTGCTTCGCAGGGCCTGAGGCGAACTTCGGAATTTGGGCTCTAAGCCTTAAGTCGCAGCAAACAATCCCTTTTTTAAAAAAATAAAATAAAAAATTAGAAGTTTACAGATTTAAATTTGTTAACTTAAAGCAACAATAAAACAACAAATAAATTTTTTGATGTTCCTTCCTTCTCTTTTCATTAAAGTATTTATTCATTTCTTTTGAACACATGGGCATAGTGGGAAAAAAAAAGGGGTAAAAAGTAAAAAAGGGCCACCCTAAAATTATGGGCCTGAGGCGGAGGCCTCTTGGGCCTCCCATCAGGTCCGGCTCTGCCTAATAGGGATACACTGGATTGCATACTACGCCCGAGGTAGCAACTTCCCAAGAGTATCAAGGTGATTCCGTTTCCATTCCTATATATATGGATCCATGCGGCATTTCTAGTGTTCTGTATCAACAAGAGCAAGCACATGGGCAGAGACTAAATCTCTTTCCTTAGGCTTCATGTGTTTATATGATCACGCATGAGTCACCCTTTTTCGGTATGGCGAATCCTGTCCTTTCGTGTAGACAAGACGATTAAAGATTAGTCTGAAAGGATACTCCACATACGTTAGATAAAGGAACAATTTTGTTATCAAGAAATGTACTACTTGTAAATAGTACGGTATTCATACCAGTGTCGACCCCTTCGCATGAAGGGGACTCACTAGAATAAATTATATTTTATTCGAAATGAGTCATCTTCCATATGAGGGGGGTAGAGACCAATATAGACATTTTGATGTACGTGTAGCATCACTCTTGTTATCAACAATCAACTAGTTTACACAAGCATTTGCATAACTAGTTTTAGTAGCCTCACAGTAAATCAAAGGGAAAAGGTCAAGTTTGTTATCAGTGACCTCCAAGTCTACACATGCATAGCTAGCTTTTAGTAGTATCACAATAAGTAAAAGAATTATCTTGGACCTATGCCTTACACTAACCCGTTGAAGGTAATTTTCAAATCTGGCACAACAATAAGTGAAATAGTAAACAAGTTAATTTATAATGAATCAAAAATTTTCGAATAGAATTTGAACTTACGATCAATTGATTCATAGTTGACCACTTTATTACTGAGTTATTGACCACTTTATTATTGAGTTATTGAGGAACAACACAATATTTAGATCTCATAGAGTAGGCTTCCATGAGGGAAAGGCGGGGGTCAGCGGACGGTGTGAGAATGTCATTCTGTGGCTTTTGTCCCTGTTGGGCCCTTTGATCGATCCAGCCAAGAATTCATCCATAACTTTGTGGGTTAGATCAAATTTAGGGAGTGAAATGAAAAAATAAATTTCCCCTTCCATTATTTGCATTCATTTCGATTTAGTAACAACCAAAAGTACCAAACGACAAGACCTAACAATGATAACTCAATTTATTGGCTCCACAAGTATCCTATTTCAGTGGAAACTTGATGAGCTAATCCACCTACACGTCTCCCAGAGCATTCGCCTTATTAAAAGCTATAACGATTATTGTTGCTGTACAAAAAAATTTTATCTCAAGGTTAAGAATTTCAGAACAACCCAAGAATTTATTAAACAAATATTTGTTTTGCAGTAATTCAAATATATGAAAGCATCCATACTACACATTACTTTTACACGCCTTCATCCACCTAAATTAATATATATATATATATATATATATATATATATATATA